TATTGTTAAATTCGCGTTTTCTACATTCTTCTATAACGTGACCTGGTTTTTTGCAGTATCTGCAAAAACGTTGGGAAGTGTTGGTATTTTCTTTTCTTAAGTTTGGAGGAAAATCAGAATTGGAATTTGAATTTGAAGGTTTATAATTTTGATTTTGAGAATTTGACCTTTGAAGATTTGAATTAGGATATTTTGGGTTTTGAAAACTAGAATTTTGAAGATGTCTAACATTTCTATCTGAATTGTTTTTATATCGACAGTTATTTGAGGAATGGTTATTTCGTTTGCAAATATTACAGAATGGTCTGAAAATTTCTTGTCTTGATAACTGTTCTTGTTCTTCGGCAATTGCTATAGCAACAGCTCTTTCTAAGGAATCTGGATTTCGGGCTTTGATTAAAATAGAGAGGTCTTTGTTTAATCCTCTAATAAAGACATTTAGTGCTTGAGTTTTTAAGAGTTTAGTACATGCATTTCTTGCATCTGGAGATAAGTCTGGATCAAGTGTATTTATTAATTTTATATAGCAATTTTCAACTTTATTTGCAAATGACATTACATTTTCACTGGGCATCTGACGTAAGGAATGTAATTCCAATTGCCACTGACCTTCAGTTCGGCGTTCAGAATAAGCATCTAATAAGAAGTCTTTTAAATCTTTCCATTCGTCAAATGTTCTGTTTCTAGTTATGGCCCTAGCTTTATCGGTTAATTTAGTTTCTATAATGGCTAATAAGATGGGTTTGGATTGCGGATTTACTAAATTGTATGCTTTATCACAATTGTCTATGAATTCGTATAATTTTGATTTTGTACCATCAAATCTAATGAGAAGTTTTTCAGCTATTTCAATTGATACTGACATTTTATTTGAATTAGAAGTAGAAGAATTTGAAAGAGAATTTGAGTCGGGAGAAGGTATTTGTTCGTCAAATAAGTTACTTATATCAGGATATAAAGTAGACATACGTTTACAAGATTTTTAAAATATGAGACAGAATTTAAGATAGAATGTACTTACAAGTAGAATATTGTTGTTGGTCGCATAGTCTATTATTCCACGGGTTCACCTCTACTTCCGATGGAACTACAATTGGGTTATGACTGGAACTGGATTTCGAACTGGATGTACTGGACCCCAATGTAATTAGTTGTAGTGGCGATTTTTCCACACTGACAGTTTTTTTGAATGATTCCTCGAAGGAAACAAGTCAATTCAAAAATTCCTCAGCTCTCCTTCTATCAGCAATCAGAGGAACTCTGCTACTAATATCCCACGTTCTGACACCAAATTTTGTTATGGAATACTATGCGTTTATTTCTTCTCCGGACTAACTCTTTGTTTTGGAATTAAACAGAATATATTGACATGTATAAATTTATTATATTAGAGGATGAAAATTACACTGCCTGTTATTTCTTAAAACTATGAATTTATAAGTTCTGTTATCTACAATTATTTAACGATGTTTCTGGATGGATTTGAGTACAAGAGATTGGACTCAAATATTAATATTAAAATAGCAAATACGGATAGCTTATCGAACAAAGAAATAAGAGAAATAAATTATTATTATTCCATAGATACGAAGTATTAGGCGAATAAACTAGCGAAACTTATTTATTCTAAATAGGAAAATATTTATGAAGAGTATTGATTCTGATTTCTAACAGCAAATAATTATTAGTGATTATACATGAGAACTTTTCATAATTGTAAATAACATATACCAGGTGACTAAAAACTATATAGAAATACATAGATACTTTAATTATCTTACATGTGAGTAGGTAGGTACATTACACTCTTTTCCCAAAAACGATCACCTTCGTACTCAGTGGGTTAGATCTATTAACCGTGAAGATTTCAGAGTAACTTCTAGTTCGGTAGTATGTAAAAAACATTTTGATGCAACGGATATTATTGAAAGTGAGTCATTCATTGATAAAAATGGTACGGTTCTTCAACGAAATTTGGTTTATCCCAAGTTGAAAGAGAATGCGATACCAAGAATTTTTGAAAACCAACCGTCATATTTATCTAACCCAAAACCACCAACAAGAAAAAATCCTGAAACTAGGCGAGCAGAAATAAGTCTCCGGGAAGAAAATAATATAAAAGAACTCGAAAACAAAGACCTTATCGTGGATTTCAAGGAACTTTTACAAAGTGTTAGTGAGAGGGTTGAGTTAAAAAACTGGCAAATAAAAGTTGTAGAAGAAAGGATTTGTTTTTATTTATTAAATATTGACAATCAGTTTAGTGATGAGTGTATAAAAGTTATTTCAAACATTAACATTACGAAGGAATTACTTGTATCTGTTTATGTGAAGGACATCCAACTGTCACCTCATGATTTAAAATGTATTTTACCATTTGACTGTAAGTTATCGCGTTGGTCACAACTAGAAAATCTGCTGTCCAGGTATTCTTTTTTTTTTGAAAGTCCTATTGACAATAATTTTAAAATAACCAAAATATGTAGTGAAATTGACAGAGTCATAGAAAATACAGATGTAGATAAAATGAAGGGAGTTCTGGCTTTTGTGAAAAATCAGTTACTGTTACTAACAGCAAGTAGGGCAAAATATTCTCTACCAACAATTATTTTTGCTCTTACCATATATAATCAGTCAACATCATGTTATAATATTATTCAGCAGTACTTAAATTTGCCCACTAAAAGATATTTACAAATGATAACATCATCCTTTCATGTATCTCCTGATGATCAATTAGAAAATAATTATTTATCATATCTTGCTTCAAATCTGAATGATCGAGAAAAAATAGTCAATTTACTTGTAGATGAAATATATGTAAATCCTGGAGTTCATTATCACTCAAAACAAATTACTGGTTTTGCTGCCAACAATGATAAACAATTAGCGAAAACTATTCTAACGTTAATGATTTCATCAGCATTTGCACATTTTAAAGAAGTGGTGCGTTTAGTACCTGTATGTAATATTGCTGGTAATGAACTCAAAGACATAGTTCTTGAATCAATTCAGTATATTCAGGACTGTGGATTTAAAGTATTGTGTGTAATTACCGACAACAATCGTTTAAATCAAAACATGTTTGGTCAGTTATCTCCAAATTTTTCCATATCTAATCCTAAGTTTAATAATGAGAATATTTATTTATTATATGATTTTGTACATATTTTTAAAAATATTAGGAATAATTGGCTTAATAAGAAAGACCCAGAAAAAACCTTTATTTTTCCAGATTTTAATAATCATTCAGTTCTTCGAAAGGCATTTTTTAAGGACTTACAAACATTGTACCAAATTGAGATAAACTTTTTAACCAAAAGAGCATATAAACTAAATCATAAATCTATTTATCCAAATAATTTTGAAAGACAAAAAGTGTCTTTGGTAGAAAATATTTTTCATGAAAGTACAATAGCTGCTTTACAGTCATGTAGTATTTATACAGACACAGCCTCATTTTTAGAAATTATTAGAAGTTGGTGGAACATAATTAATGTAAAAACTAAATTTAAAGGACAGGCAAAAAGGAATGATTTGGCTACCCCAATTTTTTCAGATAATGATTTCAAAGTAGTTTTTTTAAAAAAATTTGTGATGTGGCTAGATTCTTGGCATCAAATTCCTGAAGGCTCTTCACTTACAAATGATACATACCTTGCTCTTAAAAACAGCACATCAATTTTGATCAAAGTAATAGAGTATTCATTTAATCATTTAAATATAGAATTTATATTACCTGGCAAATTCCAAACGGATAATTTAGAAGAAAGGTTTGGTCGTTATAGGTACCTATCTGGCTGTAATTATAACATTTCAGTTACTCAAGTGATTGATTCAGAAAAAAAAATTCGAATACAGAATATTCTGAAATCGTCTGTTACTAGTGATTTAACACAATTAAAATTTCAGCCACCTGATGATCTAAATTGTGCAACACTTAATCAGTTCATAGAATGTTCAGAATTTACTTCTATTTTTAATAGTGATTATCTGCGTACATACAATTGTGAGGAATCAAGTCAAATATATATTAGCGGATATGCAGTTCATACTGTACAAAAAACTCTTAAATGCCTTACCTGTAGAGATCTGATTGTACAAAGTATAGGTGATAAGGTAAATGATGAATATTTTGATTATCTGCAACGAGGTGGTTTATCTGTTGCAACAAATGAAGTTCATTATATTTATTATCACTCGTGTGCTCTTTTTGAATACATAATTAAACATCCAGAAACTATGTCACTGTTTTTGTCTCATAAAAATCAAAAATATTTATTGGCTTCTTTAGCCCTCACGAGTTTGGAAAGTGACAATTTTTATATTGATTTTTCTAAAATTTGTGTTTGTGGAACAGCTGTTAGAGAATTATATTTTAAAATTTCTGTGATTTTCTCCAATACTTTGTTAAATAACTTCACAAAAAACAAGAATAATGAAATTATGACAAAGAAACTAACTAAAAGTTTATCTAAAAAGCGCAAGCTTTCAACTTTAAAAAAATAAATACCTGGAATTTCAATAACATTTTTTTAAGCCACTCTTAATAAATATAATATTCGCTCAAGGGATACTAGAATTCAATAAACTGCAAGTTGTTTACAAAAATATTAAAAGAATATTTTCTTTTTTTTTAACGTAAATTATGTAAATAATGTAAGCTGAATGCACTTGTATTACTTTTAAATTCTATTAATATTACACCTCATTGTATTCAATGTTTTGCAGTTTTAATAGATGTGATATATATATATATATATATATATATATATATATGTACCTTATCAAACTATTTTGTTCGATTTTTTTACTTAATTTTAACTTTATAGCGAATATTATGATGTTCCTCTTTTATTTATTATTTTGATGGGCTCTTTATAGTCGGACTACTTCTAACAGCTGATGCGGCGTTGCCATTTTTAGTTCACGGCTTGTAAGCTTTAGGTGGCTGTGCTAAAAGTAACACTACTGGGGTGATTTTATCTAGAATCAGCTGTGACGAAAGCCGCGAAATGTGTCACTTCTGTCGTCCTGTCAGTTCCCAAACAGCAGCATGTAGTGTAAGCCGCAGTGTTGTGTGATTATTATTATAAAAAAATAACCCAAATCAAAACAATGACAAACGTCTTGATAAATAGCTATACATTTATAGTCTACAAATAGAAATATTAGTCGATAATATTCATCTCAACCTACTTAGCTGTGACATTTTTCCTTTGTTTTGTTAAAACTTATTCAACAATCCCCAGATTAAAGTAAGTACTGTAATTTATATATTGTAATGTAGCTTTACTAAATATTGTATGTTTCGATTGATACAAGGGTAATTATGTGGAATTTCATATATTTTAACGACTGTTGTCATTCTGTAGTTTCATTGTGAAATCAATTTCATAAAATGGTCGTTTTTCTATAATAACATTAGATATTGACATCACACTAAGCTAGGTATCCAGAACAGAAGAATAGTTTTTATGGATATAATAGAAATAATACAGAGGGTACTTAAAACATTTTAAGCTTAAACATTTTTAACAAAATTTTAGAGTAACCTTTCAGGAATTTACAACATAATATGTTTGTTGTAAATCTTTGTAATTTAAATATGACCGAAAATGAAAACCTCTTGATTGTAAGGCACAGTATTATTCAGCATAAGTATGCAATGAACAACAACCAATACTACTAACCAACAATAAAGCGACTAAGTTTCAATAATTGTCAAAAGTACCTAATAAAGGAAATTGTACACAACTTATCACAATTCATGATTTTTGATTATTTTGTCAATACCTAATTTTGACTCTACAGATACACTAGAACATGTTAGAATCGTTTATTTATTTTTTCTTTTTGAGTACTAGCATTCAACACATGTGTTTTAGAATGGTAGATTTAAGTTAAACAATATGGCATATTACTGACAAATTATAATTGACCAAATTTTAACTTTTTATTTATTATTATTAAAGAGTTAATTCTTTTTCTTCTTCTTCCTCAGATTTACCCCTTCCAGGTGTCACTAGTCCTTACTCTTCTTCACCACTCATTTGTGTCCATCATATCTTCTCTTCTGCATTTAAAATTTTCTCACTCAAGTCTTCTGTCACACAGCCTTTGTATCTTCTCCTCAGTTTTTCTCTACTTTTCTTTCCATCAACTTCTAACAGCCCTATCCTTCATTGCACATAGTTTTTGTTGCCAAATTATTGCAGCCTTTGTTCTCGAATGTTTTTGAGACTGTAGACACCTTGGCTCTTCGTTAGTTCCTGATCCTGCAACATTTTCATTTTAGCTACCTCCATCTTCTTTACAGGCCCCACTTCACCATCATACACCAAGCCTCCCTCACCACACTCTTGACATTTCGTTGCAGCCCTTACCTAATTTTTGCTCACATAGTGCAAGTTTTTCATTTTCTGTTATGCGGGAGCCAAGGTATTTAAATTATTACAGCGTTCATACCTCTCCATTTACAGCTGCTGAATAATTTTTTGTTTCAAAATGACTTGATTAATGTTTTAATGCTCTACCAGTACAATAAGTACATTTTTGGCTACTTTATAAGTACTTACATAGATAATATAGTAAAGAAAACCCAAAATAAATTATTATGAAAAAAAACTTGATCACTAGAGAAACAATTATCTATTAATTATGAATATTTTTTTATATGTACATATATAATTCTACACCTAAAATCATCATTTTAGTATAAAATTTGCATACTGAAGTAATTAATTTAACTACAATTCCATAGATAATGGAAAATTTTGTTTGTGAATATTTGCTATCAAGATCAATATTTACTCCTATTTTAATGATAACTTGCAATACTCTTTTGTTGGCTTGTTAAAATTGATTTTGAAATTCAAATACATTGCCAAAACAAATATTGTTGGTTTTTAACCAGTGTTCTGTTTGAAATTTAATGATATATATAGTATATAAACAATAACAGACAAAAATGGGCATAAACTAAAGACATAAAGTATAGGACCTACACATAATGATCTATTTATTTTTTCTTACAATATCAGACACACTCTATGACAGTGATATTTTTTGACTCGATACAATCTAGAATTTATACATTGTTTTTTTGTCGTTTGGTTGACTAGCTTATTGGATTTGAGTTCTAATTAATGTGTGGGTTTACCCGAATAAATTTAATTTGCATACAAACTTTATAACAATGAAACACATTTGTGGGATGTGGAGTATTTTTGGACTTTGGAGAATCTGCTTCACAACATCAAAATTATTGTTTTTATGTTGTGCAGGGAAGATATTGGTCCAAAAGTTCAAAAATACCTTTATAGTATTCAAGTACTTATTCATCTATTCATTATACAATCTTTTAAGAAATGGATCTGGTTGCTATGGTTTAGATAATGACAGAGAAGGTTAGGTGGCAAATTTATATGTGTGTGTGTTTTAGATTAATGACTGGTTTAGAATAATTGGCCAACTCAAAATTTTATCATTATCATTCATCAACATTACCAACATTATCAACATTATCATTTCCATAGATACAATTTCCTTGCTTTAGCTGAGATGCATTATGTTTTAATAAATACCAATAATAACTAATACTAAATCCTAAAACTAAATACTAAATAATAAATATTAATAATGAAAGTATATTTTTTCCACAGCGCTAAGACCTAAACCAGATTCAACACCTCTGAGGTTTAGACCCTCTTTGTGTTTTGTTTTTTTATATGTATTTTTTTATTTCTCATCTTTTGTATATAATTATTTTATTCTTCTTCTTTTATTCTTTTTTTTTATTTCTTTTTTTAAATCTTTTTTGTTTTTTTTTTTCGAATATCAATTTTAATATTTTTAGATGGCTATAAACAATTTTGTAGAAATTTATTATTACGTGTACATGAATGGCATTTAAATTGGTGGGTAGAGTAGCTTCTGCTGTTTGTAGATTTTTATATAATGCTTGTTTCTTACTCTGTTTAAAGTATTAATGAAGTGCCGATTTGTAATACCGATATTTCTGTTGCCACTGTTCCATTTGTTTTTTCTTAAACCATTGTCGTAAGTTTACCTTTATTCGTAAGTGACTGGACAGCTTCTAAAATTCTTATAAGATGAAGAGCTTGATAATTTAGTTGGTAGGTATAGTGTGTCTACCATACTTTTTCTGTTAATATAACAAACTTACTCCTGTAATGGGCATTCAGGTGCTGATAGAAAATCACTTTTGGATGATTTTTATGTCGCCAGAAGGAACTATCTATTTTTTAATTGAGTTCCTGTACACAAAAATTGTCCTCTAAGATACAAGGGTGCTCTGCTGTTTCGATTTCTAAAATATGTGTCGATGTGCTTTTTAAATATAAAAGACAAAGTCGTAAACACTTAAGTACTTTTAATTTTTTCCAATATCTCCAGTTGACTCAAACTTGCATTTCCATATAAGATGTAACGTCTTAATCTTATTAAGACCAGGGCGTTAAGCAACACCATACTCCTGGAAGAAACAGGGGGGGGGATTCTTCGAATATCACTAAGAATATTCAAGAGAAAAACGCCCACCGGTCTATCCAGAATGGTGCTCTGCCCGACTGCTCAGCCCTGGGTTCGTTCCCTGTTCATTCTCTCTCTACACTAATCCCAGAAAGGTACAGAAAATAAAAAAACTTATAAAGTCATAGTAAAGATATATTTATTTATTAAATAAAAAATAAACAGAATTCAAATTATGAATGTGAAATAAAAATAAATTTTTAAACCGAGACTCAAATATTCTGCCTGTTGCAGAATTTGTGTGACTATAAATTCATTAAGAATGATTGTAGTGATAAGATTGAAGAGAGCGAATAAAAATTCGTATTCGCTTACTTATATTATAGTGGAACGGCTACTAAAAATATTTATCATTTAGTGAGATCGCTTTGGAATAAAAAAAAAGAGGTTAGTCTTTGTAAATGGGTATATTTATTTAAAAACCCTTAAAGGGCTACATCAATAAAACAAACGTTTTCGGACCACACAGTCCATCATCAGGTTTTAAAATCGAAAAATGCTAGGTCACAATGCCTGAGCCACCAAAATACTAGGGTAAAAACCCTTTAAATTACATTTAGTTATAAAAGATTGTACATTGTGTTGTAAAATAACTGTGATGTTCAATATTAAATTAAATTTGGCTAGAGGTAACACATGGCTGAAGCGAGTTCCAGAGCCGGTGTGAGAGAACCTCTACACGCGGAGAACAGCTGGCAACTGATTGAATCATCAATGTGACCTAGCATTTTTCGATTTTAAAACCTGATGATGGACTGTGTGGTCCGAAAACGTTTGTTTTATTGATGTAGGCCTTTTAAGGGTTTTTTAAATAAATATACCCATTTACAAAGACTAACCTCTTTTCTGTGATACGTGGTATACAGCCAGCTACAGGAAATTTTTTCCTTGTGGATTTTGCTTTGGAATAATATAGTACGGGGGACAAGTACCGACCGGAGCTTGGTGTCACGTTCAATTGGTTGATTGAAACGTTATAAAGATACATCCATAGTCTATCACTGAACGTATTAGCGGTCTGTAGAAAATTAGTGATATATTTGGTTCTGCTCTTCACTTTGTGTGACTAAAAGCGTACATTTATTGCGTTTTCATATTTTTTTGACAAGTGATGAATATGTTCTTACCAAGAGAGTTTCTGATTTAAAAATATGCCAAGGTATTTAACTGGTGTTTTGTATGGAATTTTTAATGGTCCTATATTAATTTGGTTTGATGGCTGATATAGTCTTGTATTAGACAGGATGAACAAACAAAAGGAGGTCGTATTTAGTGTTAAAATGAGGAAACTACAATACCTGGGACATATTACACGTGGGAATAAATATCAACTGTTACAACTAATTATGCAAGGAAAGATTGAAGGTAGGCGCAGCATAGGTAGGAGAAGAATGTCATGGTTGAGAAACCTCAGGGAGTGGTTTGCTTGCACTTCCATACAATTGTTCCGAGCGGCAGCCTTCAGTGTCAAAATTGCCATGATGATAGCCAACCTTCGTAGCGGAGATGGCACGTGAAGAAGAAGAATAGTCTTGTAAATGAACATATGACTGATTTTTCTTGAGAGATGCATCCTCTTTTTGACGACTTTTCGACATTTTTTCCCGTGGCGTTTTCTAATGCATTGATGGAAGCTTTGATCGACGTATTTTCCGTATAAATGCAAAAGTCGTCTGCATATTGAAGTAATCTGATTTCTTTAGTG